GCGCGCGCGCGGATATATTCATTTTACCGGGGAGCAGATATATCATCATCCCTGTTTATTAAAAGAGCTATATTTGTCGTTGGAACAGCTTGTGATGAAAGTGCGTTGCTTCCCTTCATCTTCTGTTTACAATGATAATGCAAAAATTATCTGCTTTGCTAAATCAGAACACTTAAAAAACAGCATTAATGGAGATTTTAATTAAACAGTGTTCATTACGTCGATCATTCTGAAGTTTTTTTTTTTTTTTACTTTTTATATATTTTATCAAATTTTAAGTGTTTTTTGGGTAAGTGTGTTCCACTTACTGAAACAAAAAGCATTCCACAGCAAAGCAAATGGGAAATGTTAATCTAAAATCACTCTCACCTTTCCAAAGTTCCAATCAGGAGATGAAGGGCAGTTTTTGTTGTTTTTGGGCCGTTTCAAAACATTCAACATAAACTATCAATATTTGTCATCAGATTTTTAAAAAAATCATGTTTGCAGAAAAAATACAATCAAAATGAATGGCAATTTAATGGTACTGAAACATGATTCTCTTCCTTGGAAGATATTTACCACCTACTTAACAGTGGAAATTGCTCTCATGTTGATTATTTTCAGGTCGTGTAGGCCAAGAAAATAATTTTTAAAATATGTATAAAAAGTAATCTAGATGGATGGATATCCCACATTTAAATGTAATATTTGTTAGAGTATAGAATGGTAATGTTTTTTGTGACTAGATCTCACTAATTGTTTTTTTTAAATACTGCCTTTTCATATTAAGATCACTTTAACAATAAAATATTAACAGCAAGGTTAATGAAATGTATCATTATAACTGGTGTATAATTATAACAAATTAACTCTATTGTTTTTCAAAATTGAAGATGGTTTTTACTCACGAGAAACTGAAATGGAGAGAGCATTATTTATAGATATTCATGAATACATGAATGGATGTGTGTGATATTAATGTAGAAAGATAATTGATTTTGTACTTATTGTTCTTGTGTATTCATTTCCACTTCCCTTTTGCCTTGAAATTTTCTCCTGATGCACTTGCCTTGCAACTTGAGATGGAAACATTTATCCATTGAAATCCTTCCTTAATCTCTCACCTTGAAACATTTTTACCTTGCCATTTAATTTAACTCAGTTGCAGGGCAAACAAGAGAATGTACCTCCCCCTCGGCCATCTGTTAAAGAACGTTTGGGTGTCCCCAACCCAGTTCAAAACACTAAAGTTCTTAATACATTGCAACCCAAAGCAACACTGTCACAACAACAAGAACCGGTTGAAAAGGTGGGTGTGGTGCTTCCAAAGTGTCCAATAAAATATCCTCTCGTCTAATATAGTATTTTATTAATTTGCATAGTGCACTGAACTTCCTTCATGGGTGATGACAGCTACTCTGATTGTTCCTTCTGAGTAGCTTTTTGTAATGCATGTGGATTTTCTCTCTCTCTCTCTCTCTCTCTCTCTCTCTTTCTCTCTGCTCTCTTTCTCCTGCCTCTTTCTCTACTCTCTTTCTCTCCTCTTTCTCTTTCTCTCTCGTCTCTTTCTCGTCTCTCGTGCGTTCTTCTCTCTCTCTCTCTTTCTCTCTCTTTCTCTCTCTTCTCTCTTTCTCTCTCTCTTTCTCTCCTCTCTCGTCTTCATCTCTCTCTCTCTATCTCTCTCTTCTCTATCTCTCTCTCTCTCTCTTCTCTACTCTTTCTTATCTCTCTTCTTTCTCTCATCTTTCCTCTCTCTCTCTTCTCTCTCTCTCTCTTCTCTCTCTCTTCTTCTCTCTCTCTCCTCCCTTTCTCTCATCTTTTCTCTTCTCTCTATCTCTTTCTCCCTCTCTCGTCTCTCTCTCTCTCCCTCTCTTCTCTCTCCTCTCTCTCTCTCTCTCTCTCATTTCTCTCATCTTCTAAAATAAGGTAGTAAGAATTTTGACACTTGAAATAGACATGTTTTATGGTACCATATGCACTGTACTACTGGAGCTTTTATAAATGGAATTGATTCAAAGAAGTTTTTAATGGTATATTTGGATCATTATTAAAATAAATTGAAATTTAAATGAATTTTAATTTTTATATCCCATTCTGTCAATGAAATTTGAGTGATGAACAGTGGCATAGCATCAATAAATGCAAGTGATGCAGTTGGTTTTATGATTTCTAATCTTTACAGTATATGTTACTTATTTTCTCTATGCAAAAATATATTGTCCTTAATTTGTGTGCTTCAGACCACAGTATCGGTTCCAGTACCTGGGTTTGCATAAGTGTCATATCCATTCCCTATGTTCAAGGCCAATGACCTTCGAGAAGGTTGCCTACTGAGTATATGGGCTTACAAATCACGAGACTGATTTGATTCCGCAAATGCAGCTGATATACAAGCTTCGGCTCCAATATTCATTGGCCTCAAGTTACGTTCTTTCATTGGTAGCATATGGACTTGGCAGAAGCTGTTCAAATTTTGTTCACCAGAGGGAGTTGCTTATATCATCTTAATTAGTATAACTTTTTCTTCAAGCTTTTTGACAGTGTACAAATTTTCGATAATTATGGTCAATTGGAGCTTTTACGATACTGAAAAGCAGTCTTTTCATCTTATCTTCTATATCATTTGCAGCAAACACATGAAAAAGAACTGAATATATGCCTTTTGGTGCTAAAACTTGTACGAAGTAAAATATAACTTAAGACTTACCACAACTTAAAAAAAATTAAAAGTGTGTATCAAATACCACCTAATGGGGCTTAAGTGATACAGCTTAATATCTCTATGAATTTTGTTTGGGAAACAACGAGCAGGCTACAGTGAGGAGTGTGTGGTTTTTTTTTAATTAAGTCTTTTACTGTGCCCAAATTTTGTAACATTATAAGGTCATTAATAATAGAATATATTTCCCATTATTTACTATTTTTTGTTAATTTTGGATACCAATAAGTAACCATACAATGACTTGTGATCACCTGGTCTCAGTAAGTAGTGAAAGCAACCAGTGTTATATTGACAAACTATTTGCTCCTTTTTATCACATCCCCTACCCGATGTTTCAAGAGACATGACTGAAGTAAATGATACATATATTGACATTTGATTTTCTCTCTAAACAATGTGATTGTTTGTTGTGGTTCACAAGCAAATCTCGAAGAGCTGATGTTATTTTTTGTATGAATCTTGCAAATCTTGTAGGGATCTTGCAAATTTCAAAAGTATTTGTGAGATGCATTATAAATTTTATATCTATCTATTTTCTCTTTTTCAAATATTTATTCCTTAACAATAGGAGATACTATCTTTACCTGAATATAAGTTGGCTCTGAATATAAGACAACCCCCTAATTTTCAAGAGGCTTCCTCAGAATTTTTTAAATTTTTAGTTAGTTCTTACTATTTAGTCAAAATAAAATTGCAAATTGTCTCTTTGATGAGAATGTTAAAACTTGTTACCCATGCCATCACTATTTTCTGCTTCCTTAAAATCATCATAATCCCAATATTTGTCACTACCCATTTCTTCATTTTTGGTCCTCTTCTCACACTGCATCGACTTCTGATTTTTAGGCCTCTCTGAAAATTTTGTGTATTAAATTTGCATTTTTAATCCTTCATCTGATGCTGCCTAAGAACATCCTGTTCTGTGTCACTAAACTCTTCCTGTCCTGCTGTTGTTCATGGCTTCTAATGTTTTAACAGATCTTTCACATTCTTTGTCAGATCATTTAATCTTCTTGTGATCGAGTTGTGCATTGAAAACTCGTAAACATCCATTTCAAGGGTAGCGTAGGATATAGTAACAAGTTTCAACGTTTAGGAAGTGTTTGTTACAATAATATTTTTTAATAGAAATACATCCACAAATGTAATTAGGTAATACTGAAATTAATTACTACTTGTGAAATTTTCATTGTCTTTGCAGTTGCAAAGACAATGTAAAAACTTTGCAAGGCAATGTAAAAACATGAATCCTAGCTGACTAGGCTTAATATTTATTTATTACTACAGACTGTAACAAGTACAAAATTATAACAATAATTTGCAAAAAGAATTACCGTATTTACCCGAATATAAGACCTGTTTTTACACCTTGAATTTGGGGGGGAAATGCACCCCAATACAAGACGACCCTTCTTTTTATAACTTGATATGTTTCCTACTATGTAATGAAATTTTTAAAAAATCACATCTATATTACGTACATGTTTATTAACATTATTCATAAATTATTTTGTGCATATCAATATTTTATACAGTACATGTATTAAACTTAAATTTTACCTCATCCACATTCATCATTTAATCATCTCTCAATTATCATCTTCACTTGTTTCATCGTCACTCAACTCATGTCCATCATTCTCACTCCATAACACATCTTCTGTGCCATCCAGACTGTTGATATAGTATTCCATGCAGTTAGAATCCACTGACCAGGCTGTCCAACTGAAGGTGTTTTTTTTATGTCAGGAGTTAATGGGCAGTTCCCTGATAAAGCCCCTCTTCATATTGGTGTCTGAGTTGGTGCTTGAAAGATTTGTTCAGTCACATCAAGGACTTGCAACTGTGAGGTCATGCCTACTGGTATCTACTACTAAATCTGTTTTTAAACTAACAACTTTCTTTTTCACTTCTTCTGTAAGGTGGCCCCTAAAGGAATCAATGGTTAACAACCCTCTCTGCAGTAAGAGGGCTCCCGGTAACTTCTTTAAGCCAAGAAATCATTAAGCTTTCATACAGCATTGTAGGCTTTCACGGCCGGAGTCAATATTCTTCATGTCTTCCGGGCTGATGGGCCGTGGTCCAATTGGCTCTGGGATGCCACAGCCAATTGGATCCCAGAGCCAATTGGACCACGGCCCATCAGCCCGGAAGACATGAAGAATACATTAAGCTTTCAGTAATCCACCCAGATTCATTACATTTAAAAATTATTCTACTTGGTAGTTTTTCTTTGGGCAAATTCTTCCTGTTCAAGATAATAAATGGTGGTAGGTTTCTGCCATCTGCCAACACTCTCAGCACGACTGTAACATGCATTTTTTTGTTTCTAGATGTTTCTATCATAACAGAATTTACACCCTTTTGTAGCCACTGTATTGTTAGAAGGCACGTCGAAGTCAGCATTCCCCATTTGACTCAACAAATGGTTTTGTAGATGGCGCAATTGTGTAATGTACTTTTAGTACTGCAGAAGTTTTTCTTCGTAATCTGCAGGCCGTTTTTGCGATAGGGAAGTTCTGCGCAGACTGAACCCTTCCCTTCTCATAAACCGTATGCACCAGCTGGCACTCGCATTGAATTGCTGTCTGGAAATGTTTCTCCTTCTTGCTACTTCTAATGCTTTCATGCGACTGCTGTTTATAGAAAAACCGAAACCCTTGTTACGATTTATTACGAATTCGACAACTTCATCATCGATTTTGGGATGGCGCCCTACTTGTGGTCCACAGAAACATGTTCTTGTGGAATTACAAGTTTTCAGGTGTTCCTGCGTACCTCTCCAACGCCATGCAGCTTTACTATTGTTTGTTGTTCAGCGAGATGAACTCGCAATTTAAAGTTTGCGTCTTAACTTTTACGTCGTTCCACATTTCTGGTAAGTTCTATACTTCCTCTTTCCTCCACATGGTCGTCCATTGCCACACTAATGTATCAGCACACAGCTACACAACAAAACCACCAAGCACAGACACGACTACCAAACGACTAGTAAAGTCACTGTACTCAACAATGCGGATGGGCTTGTGACCTACGAGTCTCTCTCTTGTTGGCCACTAGGAAGGCTTTGGTGCTATCACAGCTGTTGCAACACCACTAACTGCTGCTAAGAAAAACTTAAATCCTAACGCTTCTGTGTAACGGCTGAGGAAATTATTCGACACCTTATTACTTCAATTATAAACGCATCCAATAATAATGATAAAAAAAGAGGAATTTCTATTACAAATGACCGTTCTTTGTGAATATAATTTGTATTATATCAGGAACAACATTGTTGATATTGCATTTTCTTCATATGCGAATATAAGATGACCCCCGATTTTTAAAGGAGGAAAACGGGAAAAATCCTCGTCTTATATTCGGGTAAATATGGTAGTCCTCCGCGCACGCCTGCAAAACTAACAAAGTAATTTGAGTAAAAACTATGCATCTTTTTTAAGTTTTGTTTAGTTTTTGAAGAAATTCATGCATAATTCTAAGAATATACGATTTTCTATATTTTGTGACGTACAATTAAATCTCTCTTAAGCAGTCACCAATGGCTCCAGTGAAAATTGACCATGAGGTGCCTGCTTAATAGAGGT